GCTAGGGAGATGTGGAATTATGGGTGTTCTAAGACACCCGTTAACAGCCATGCATTAGGAATATCATACGTTTTCTCATGAGGAGACAAAGACCCCTCTGTTAATGTTCCACTAGTTAACCTCAAAACAGATTCTCATTCTAAATCCCCAAACTACCCTTATTTATTTGAACAATGAGAAGAATTCATCATCATACTGTTAAAATCCAATAACATTCTTAAACATTTCGTGTTTTTTTGGAGTGGGAAGGAACTTTGTAGTGCTCTGATAGAGAGTTGCTGATTAACTCTCTACAAGAGAGAAGTGATCATTCTTAGTAGTTGTGTTTGCTGGTTTTTCTGTGGATCGAACAGAGAGGAGTAGTCAATGGAGATCACCAAAGCAGGAAAGGAGGAGGAGCAACCAAGAGTATTAATCAAGAACTCTGAGAAGAGATTGGGTCTCTATGCAAAGGTAATATCAGATAAACCACTTAATGTATCAGGAGTCATAGAACAAATCAAGGACATGTGGTGGTGGGTTAAAGGAGAGCTGCAGATCGAAAGAGCTACTGAAAATCTACTTTGGATCTTTTTTACTAGAGAAATGGATAGGAAGCATGTGCTGAGAGATGAACCATGGGTAGTGAAAGAGTACCCTCTCATATTGAAGGAGTATGTTGATTATATCTTACCCTCATAAGTGAAATGAATACTATGGACGTGTGGGTGAGAATATTGAATTTTCCAATGGGGTACAGAACAAAAGAAACCGGAGCTCTACTGGTGCAAACAACAAGGGAAGTTTTGGAAATGAACTCTGAAGAAGATAGAAGAAAGAAAAAGAAGGAAGAATGGAATAGGGGCTTGAGAGTGAGAGTGAGAATAGACATTAGAAAACCATTAGTAGTTGGGGCAAAGGGAACCTTAGAGGATCGAAAGAAAGCTGGTTCTCCTTTTAGTATGAGAACCTGCCGATTTTCTATTACAAATGTGGAGTGCTTGGGCATCTGGAAAAAGCATGTGTGGAGGCTACAGATAATAGCAAACAAATAGAAAATCTAATTGCAAGAATGAAGGAACAAAGCTTGGACTCCTCCAAAGCTTTGATTGGATACGAGCCATGGTTGAGAGTTGGAGTTGGAGAAGAAGATGATAGATTCCTGAATCTTGAGAAGAAGAAGAAAGAATAGGGAAGAAAGAAATTAGAGTTTCAGACCCTGAGAGAAGAGTCTAGAAATGGGAGGAGAACTGAGATAAAACCAAGAAAAGAATCAGTCGAGACCAGTTTGGAAGGTATGGACGAATGAAGAAAAGAAGCCCTGGAGGATAGAGCAGAGAGAGTAGAATGTAAAGAACTTATCAGAACTCTGGTGAGAAGGAAGCTCTTCCCTGAAGAGCACGACAAAGAAGTTGGACTGACAATCATGGAGGAAACACCCCGGAGCTTCAATGTTGTCCTATCTTCAGCTAGTTTTTTTCTGGTGAAGAAGTCTAAATAGAGAGGAGGTGGCATGGATGAGAAGCAAAACCATCCCCAGTCGCACAAGCCTTACTTTTCCGGGTTACTTAGTCAGGAAAGACCAACTAGAGTTGAGTACTGAACCACACAAAATAGGAAAATCGTGCTTGACACTGCAAGTCATACCAGATATGGAAGGTGAGAGAGAGGATTTCGAATATAAGGGAGAAAAAAATTTTTCCATTTCCAGAAAGATAGCAGAGGATGAGCTAGAGACTTCCTCAGAATTTATTGTGCATACTGAAGAGGTTATAGGTGCAGACAGCCGCTCTGATCAAGGAGAAGAAAAGTGGAGTGATGAAGAGCTGGGTATGGACGGGCAACCTGACCTAAAGTACCTATTCCCAAACCCGGACTCAAACCTAGAGTCATCCCTAGACCCAAAACCGGAATCGAATATGGACTCAAACCTAGACACAAACCCGAACTCAAAGTTAGACTCAAACCTGGACCCAAACCCGCATCACCAGATAAGAGTTAATGAAAAGGAGGTTATGCTTCTCGCTGAAATCAATAGAGAAAAGAGGGGGAGAACTCTGAGTCAGGAAGAAGATGCACAAGAACAAGCCAAACGAAGGAAGAGAGGTCAAGAGGAAGAGGGACAAGGGCTAGATGGCATAGAAGGTGAGATTCTTAGTTTCTTTAAGTGTGATATCGAGCAACAAACACCAGCCACCACAAGTTGGATCTGGCCGACGAACTGCGAACAGGTATGTTGAACCCAAGATTTCAAATCTACTTCACTTCTTTACTACTCTAATGATCTATCAATAGATAGTAATAAGAAAACCAATGTTTTTCCTAGCATAGTAGACTTCATGTTAAATCCCAAGCTAGGTGATTGGATCCACCAAACAAAGAAAAAGGGGAGAAAAAAATCAAAAAAGAAAAAATCTGAAATACATAAATGGTGCCCAAACCTTAAATGCACATTAAGAAATAAATGTATATGTACATAAGTAAAATACAATCAAAGAATGAGCACATTGTGGAGAATAATTTTTAAAAATCACTTGAAAAGTCAAGAAAAGGGAAAAAGTTACAAACTCAGTAGAATTGGGGGCAAGGGAAATAGAGTTGGAGTTACTAAGGCTCTATTTTTTTCACTTTGTACAAGAAAGAAAATGCAGATCTAAGAGCAGAGAAAAAGAAAATTCAAAAATTCAAAAGACACTAAATTTACTTTGATTGTGTTGGCTTAGGTTTCTTGGAAAATGTAGGGCTTGCGGGAGTTGACCCAAAACAACTCCCTCTGTGGAAATGAAGGTTCTCTGCTAGAACTAGATGAAGGGGTCAAATTATGACCAAGAAAAGTTAATCAAATTGAAAAGCAACTAGATGAATGGATAAGAAGGGAAGAAATCATGTGGGCTCAAAAAGCTAGGGTTAACTGGCTTAAGTTTGGGGATAGAAATACAAGATTTTTTCATAATCAAACAATTAGGAGGAGAGCAAAAAATAGAATCTTGAAACTGAAAAATGAAACTAGAGAGTGGATAGAGGGGCAAGAAAATGTCCAAAATATCATGGAAAACCATTTCCAAAAAATGTATACATCATCTTGTCCTACAGATATGGAGATGGCTCTGCAATGCATCCAAACAATAATAAATGAAACATACAATGAAAACCTAGAAATGGATGTCTCAGATGAGGAGATCAAGGAAGCCTTGTTCCAAATGGCTCCCAGGAAAGCCCCATGACCAGATGGATTCCCCAACCTCTTTTTTTCAATCTTTTTGGGAGACTGTGAAGGAGAATGTAGTAAGAGATGTTCAAGGTTTCTTTAACTCGGGAGAAATGAGCAAAAACCTCAATTCAACATTCATAGCCCTAATTCCAAAAATAAAAAATCCAGAAGATGCTTCACAGTTCAAGCCAATCAGTCTGTGTAATACTGTTTACAAGATAATTGCAAAAGTTTTAGCAAATAGAATGAAGCCAATTTTAAATGATATCATCTTAGAAAACCAGAGTGCCTTAAATAGAAAAAAGATGGTTTCAAAAGTGATTAAAGTTAAAAAAGTAGAAAAGCCTTCTATTTATTTGGGATTTCATTCTCTTGTAAATAAAAAAAAGAACCAAATTTTTGAACATCTTTCGGAGAGAGTATCAAACAAAGCCAAAGGTTGGAGGGGATCTCTGCTATCTCAAGTAGGAGAAGAGGTCCTAATGAAGTCTATCCTGACTGCAATACCAACCTATTGTATGTCTTGTTTCCTTCTCCTAAAGAACATCTGTAATTCTTTGACAAAAAGCTAAAAATCTTTTTGGTGGGGAGTTAAGGATGAGAAGAAAAAGTAAGATGGGTAAATTGGAAACAGATTTGTAAAAACAAATCAAATGGCGGGGGGGGGGGGGTTAGGTTTTAGAGATCCCAGAGCTTTTAATCTTGCTTTGCTTTCCAAACTGACATGGAGGCTTTGTCCTTGTTTCCTTCTCCCAAAGAAATACATTCGTTAATGTATATCTTTCTCAATTTAGGAAAGACTTAACTGAAAAAATTAGCAGATATTGCCCTTGTTTTATGGGGCACTTGGAAAGATAGAAATCTCTTTTATTTTGAAAATGAAAATCCAAACCCTTTTGTAGTCATCTCTCTTAGTTGCAGGTCAACAGTGAAGAGATATCTCTGGCAACAAAGATCAAAAAGAGCTTCCAAGACTAACCAGAGCAAAAAGGATGTTTTTTGGCTTCATTATCAAAGATCATTTAGGGTGTTGATGGGGTGTGGGTTTTGGGCAAACAAAAGCTTTGTCACCTCTGAAATAAGAAGCTCAAACCCTCCTAAAGGCAGTTGTTTTTGCAGATAAAACGAATAAATCAGACCTTGTTTTTGAATTAGATTGTGAATATTTAGTTAGATTGCTAAATGATGTTGATGGTTGTGAAGATCCGGATGTCCTCTTTTGTTGTAAGGATATTCAAGAAATTACCACCAAAAGAATTTTCAGAGTTCAGTTCTGCCCGAGGAAAACAAACCAAGCAGCGCATACCACAGCCAGATATGATTTCTCTGGAGAATTTGAATCTAGTTTTGCAAGTCCTCTATGTCTTTCTATTGTAGTGAACTTGGATTTAGCATTTTGTGAGTCTGTAGTAGTTTTCTTTCCTTTTGTAGTAGGTTTGTTTTTTTTTTCTGTTGTGCCTGTCTCAGTTGTTTGCCCCAATCCCACCACATTCATGGACTGAGGAGTGGGGAGTCCTATTAAATTATCATGCGTGAGATTGTTACCAACAAAGAATTCATGGTTGATTGCTGTAGACCCAGACACCTTGGGATTGACTATGAGAGATACCCCCTTTATTACTCGAAGGGCTATTGTCCAGAAAAATGAACTTGGTAGTTGCCTTTGTGGGATGTTATGACTTGATGGCAGATATACTGTTTCAACTTTCAAGTGCGATTAGATCATGTTTGGTTCAATACTCTCCCTCTATCATTCTCGCCCAGATTGAGATTATAAGATGAGCAAAAGAACGAGTAGGGCGACAAAAACTTTGCTTTGAACCAAATAATGTTAATTGACTTCAAATCAAAAGCAGCAAACCCATAATCGTTATAATACATCATATCATAATGAGCAGCACAAAGCTTCGTTTGTCAATACAAAGAAATCTACACCATTATATGCAAAGCAAATTCTACTTTGATACATCATAGTCCCCTGCGCTGTAATATCAATAAAGCTCAGATGGCCAATGAGATGATGCAGATGAAGTCATGCGTGGATCAATTTCGTTTTCCTGCCCACGTGCTACCCATACAATATAACTATATGCATTTAGCGTTGGTTTTCCCTACGCCTCACATATCTGGTTCTATCATTGTATCTGGGTCTGTCTTGAGCTCTCTGGGGCACTGGCTCCACCCTTCTCTGTCTCTCCGGGGATCTTTGCACGATCTCTCCGTTCACAAACAGTTCAGCTGCAAATGAATAGAAAAACAAGGGTAACAAACTCAGGATGGTAGCATTGACATTTGACAGTAGAATATTGGGAAAACATTCAGACAAATTGAGACCGAGAAAGATGCTGAACCAAGCTCTTGTATCATTTCAGCCACAATTAATTTGTCTTATTTTTATATATTAGCTAAATGTCATGTTTCATCTCCACTGATCTGCAGCTCCAGTTGCAAATGAGAAGCCAAGAACAGTTAAAGAGAAGTTTTGACTCAAGTCCATTAGCATTCAAAGCTATTCATTGCCCTTGGAAAGGCTCTTTTTCTTTGCCAAGATGGACTATTGCAACATTAGCTGCATATAATTAATTATATTTGCACCCATAATAGTCATTTGAAAGCTACAAATCTATTTGAGTGTTTCATCTCCACTGATCTGCGACTCCATTGAGCATGAGAAGCCTAGAACAGTTAAGAGAGACACTTGATGCGAGTCCATTAGCATTCAAAGCGACTCATATCCCTGCATGGGCTCTCATGCTTTGCCAAGATGGACTGAACATGTTATGTAGCTTTTCCACATTTTCACTAATTCATGTTTATGAAACAAGAATCTTGTGGTTGCAAATGACCATCAGGTGTTTCATGGCCATGAACTATAACATTAGATGAGGGAAGAACTCAACAGAATACCAAGTGTCACACACCATAATCAATCTGCAGATGGACAGGGAAAAGATGCCCAACATTCATTGTTTTTCCTATGTAAATACTACTAACAAAAGCATGCGTGCCTCATGGATAGAAAAAAGAGGTAATGGCACCAATGCTTGCTCCCCAGGGCAATGGAATATGAGACCACCCATTGACAGAGCATTTCCCCAGAAGGAAAGAATACCTCCCCCATCACATAATGATAGAAACTTGACGATTGCAATTCAAAAGCAGGCATTCACATGCTAAAGGGAGCTTTACCAATGTGGATTGAGCATAATCATGTGCACTATGTGACTTAATTATGAACATATTCCACGCTGTAAGTTCCAATTCCATGCCCAGATTTTATTAAGCTAAAAGCAGTTAAACTTCATCTACCCACAGACACTCAACAGTGAACTATACATCTAATATTTTCCTATTCAAAATAATATTGACAGGCAAGGACGCTCAGCATCTAATCTTTTCCTATTTAAATGCTAATAACAAAAGAATGTATGTCTCATGGCCAGTCCCGAGAGGTAATAGCAGGACACTGCTCCCCAAGGCGATGGAATATGAGACCACCCATTGACGGAGTACCCCCCCATAAGGAAAGAACATCAACATCTTTGAGCTCTTTTTGTGACGTTTACAGTGGAATATACAAACATAATTGGTTTGCTCCATTATCAAGTAAGGGAGATCTTTTACCAAGAATATCTCCCCCGTCACATAATGGCAGAAATCGGACCACTAGAATTCAAAATCAAGCTTCACCCACTAAAGGCCTTACATTTTACAATAGTGGATTGAACACAATCATGTGCTCTATGTGCTTTTAATTATATATAAACATATTCCAAGCTACAAGTCAACATCCCATGTCAATATTGATAGCCCAGATTTGGGCTAGCTAAAAGCAGTTAAATTCACCTTATCCTACAGACAAAGAAAAGCAAACAATAGACTTACAATATCTGATTGCTCGTTTAATTTGCCCTAAATGAGATGTTTCATAGTTCAAAAACATGTGTTCCTTTGCTACTATAAAACACTAACGCTTGCTTGTTTCTCCACAAAACATTTCTATGTGCATCAATAATACCGCACTAATGTGTTCAATGTAGGTACATTGATTTAACAAAAATAAACCATGGAAAATCATTGATAGACACACTAATTTATTAATAATTTGTCACGTCATCCTATGATTTTTAATCTTACCTCCGTAATCCTTGTTCTCTGCATCGACGTAAGAATCAGGGAGCACAAAAAGTACGCCAGGAAGACCTAAGGAGGAGAACAGAAGTCAGCAATGTTGCAGTCCTATAATACGATTGGGCCTGTTAAGCTTTTAATCACAAACCTTCAAGTTTATTTGATGTTTCCTCATCAATCTCACATCCGAAACCAAAATATCTATCGCATGAGACGTTGTATATCTTCTTCTTTGCTTCCTCTTCACTGATATTTCACAGAAGAAAGAAACAATTAGAAAAGCAAAACCCAGATGAAAAGGAAAGGTTTTACTTCAACCGTCCCCTAAAAACCCAGAGAACGAGTATCAACATTTTACTTGCTTGCACTGATTAGAAATGCAAAGCCAAAGGAACTTCAACGATATCCAGAACCGATCAAAACATCCAAAAGACACAAAAAAAAGAGAAATGCGACCAAATAAAAAAGGCATATTTTGCGGTAAAGTGATCATTAGCTCCCAAAGAAAAATTAAAATGTAAAACTAAACCCTAAGCCCTGGTTTCAGATTTGGGGTCAAAAGATCATTAACCCCCAAGAGATAAAGGCAAACAATATTTATAATGAAAAACCAGACCCTAGAAATGGTTTCAGCAACCATACTAATTCACTAGGCCTCTTTCATGTTCTTTACCTTCCAACGACCTTGGCTAGGGTTTGGATGTAGCAGTCGATCATCTGCTGCTTCGTGGCACCCTCACCACCGGGCTTATCCATAACGATGAGCCAGTGCTCGTAGTCGCAGCCAGGGAACAACGGTGCCATCTCCGTTGGCGGCCTATCGCTGAAGTTTGAACCCGAGTTCAGCGGCGAATACGCCGAATCACCAGATCGATTTACCCTGCATCTAATAGGGTTCAACCGAACCGCGCCGGGGGAAATAACTCGGACTGAGTGAGAAAGCAACACCGAAGGACGCCTTCCCCGGAGAAAGCCAGGCAAGGGAGGGGCTCCAGAAATAGAAGTGGGAGAAGAAAATAAGCGTTTGCAGAGCAAGTGAGAGGATGTTGAGCAGCGAGACGAGGTGATGGCTCGAGCTATCGCTGCTGCCACCGTCGTGGCCATGGCTGGGCTGGCCGCTGGGTGAGGAAGCGAAATGGAGAGAAGAGAGGAGATTGTGAAGAGGCGAGGTTCAGGGTTATGTGATGGGGTTTAGGAGGTATTTATGATTGTCGTCAAGAGGGTAAAAACTAAAACCCTAAAAGAGAGGAGCACATCCATCGACTGGTGCATCAAAGCGATCAGACGGCGTCTTTTCTGGATCTACGTTCCCTTCTCTGCAGTTGATTAGATTGATGCGTCGAGTCCGCGACTGCAAATTGTAATATCTTCGCCGGCTCCTAAAATATCAGTCGAAGTGGGACCTGGGGCCATTTTGGCATACGGGCCCAAATGGTGGGTCTAAGGCCTTAAGCCCATGCCCAACTGAATTAAAAGAACCATCAGTATATAGAATGGGTAGATTATTGTGATGCACGTGATGGTCTTGAGATGATAATTGTGTAGACGGCTTGCACTCAAAAAGGAAGTTGCTTGCTGTCTTAACCACTCTCAAATATCCCAATTGTTTCTAGCTTCCCATATGCAATAAATGATTATTGCAATGCTGAGACTCGTTAATGCTTGTTGCTTCCCTAGGTTTTGAGCCAGTGAATTGTACCATTCCTGAATGATGATGTGAATGGGTGATTGTGGAGTTGTACAAGGATTTAAGCCAATTTGGGCTCCGCACCATACAGCCCGTGCAAATGGGCATTGAAAATAGAGGTGGCGTGTGGTCTCCTCTTGGTTGTTCCAGAATGCACAAAGTTTGTCCAGTTCTAGTAACCAGGGGCAGTCCATCCCAGAGGGTCTTCCAAAGAAAGACTTGGAACCGGTATGGAATTTTGAGCTTCCACTTGAAGTGAGTGGTCGAGCTTGATGCACCCAATGAAGAGAAGAGATGAAAGGCCTATTGGATTTTAATCTCATAAGAGATTAAATCCAATGGACTTGATTGGTCAATTACATGAGAAATTGCACTTGCACACTTGATTGAAAAATCAGTTTTTCTCTTACCGAACCTAGTTTTGAACTTGTCCCACATTGGAAAATTATAAGTTTTGTTTTAAGTATTTCAATAGGAGTTGATTTACATTCCCTAGAATTAGTAGAGGAGAGTATGGGGATTCGATGCCGCGCATACACGCGCGCGCGTGTGTGCGGTGCAATGAGGCGCTTTAGAGGCGCACTTCGCGTGGCTCGTGATGGGCGACTTGGTTTTGGTGCGTTGCTGACCATTGATCACCGTTGATGAGATTAATGGTCACGATTCGATTGGGTGTGATCAAGAGGCACAATTCAAAGTTAACAGTCACTAACTGTTAACTACTTTTTAAACAGTCACAATGTTTGAAATTGTGACTGTTCAAGGTGCCTTCTCTAAACCAATACATACCTTTTCTTCATACCTCTTCACAAATTATTTAAGGAACATGAATCAGACTCCAAAGGCACACAATTTCGAAATTCACTATCTCTCTCTCTCTCTCTCAGTCCGGTCTGCTACAGTTTCACAGAAGGTTTCTTTGGAGACTCTTCAACTTTGCTGGTTGCAGATTCTCGCCCAAGGCTCTGTTGTATCATGAGAACAAATTTGCCTGTAACTCATCAACAAACTCAGTAAAACTGAGTGGGGGCAAATAACGTTCTAAAGACAGTGTCTTCAGACGCGTCTCAGAGCTTCTCCTCCAAAGTTACAGTGACCCCATTTTCCCCAACAAGGCCGACTTTACAATGTATTGGCCATAAGAGTTTTTTCTCCAAATAAGTAGATCCATCGACTAACTTGGCCCTAGGTGTGTTGCTATAATATATTGAATGGTGAAAGCTGAAAAGAATTGCTGGAGCATTGGGAGACTTCATGAACCATCTCGGTTAAGAAACTATGACACCTTCATATCACGCATCCTAGCTTGAGCTGACGGCAAATTAGGATGTGGTATGTGTCTGGGCAGCGTTGGAACCCAAGGATCCGAAGTGGCAGAGACATGTAACCCATCCTTGATGGACTACAGTAAATTCGAATGCAGTAATGGTAGTAGCTGATGTGCTTGCTGCCACCATTGAGAAGTGCGACTTCCTTTTTTTTTTATGCGAAGAGAGAGGTATGAGGGAAGTACTTTAGCTTGACTTATCTGTTAAAAGCCTCCATATTTGTTTCCCGAACATGACTTGATTCATGATGCCATAGGTTCTAAAACCTAGCCCTCCTTGTTCTTTTGGCTGGCATAGCTTGTTCCATGGTATAGTGTGCCTAGAAGCCTTATCTTTATCACCCCACCAAAATGACATTGTCATTTTGTCTAATTTAGAGGTTGTTGCTTTCGGTAAGATTGATGTTCTTCACACAAGGAGATTGAGAAGATCCACTTCAAGCTTATACAAGTCTCGGACCATTCTAAGTTGCACCATACGTGTGTCAAGAAGCACACGCTTGAGAAAATAATATCGTATTAATATTTTAAACCTTGCATGTAAGGCCACGTTTGTTTGGGGTGGAAAATCGAATCATGGAAAACTTTATACCCCAGTTCGATTTTACACATGTTTGGAAACAGTGTAATTTTACATCGTAAATCGGTGTAAAATTCATTTTTAATTTTATTTTTTACATCGACAGTCGATGTAAAATATACATCAAAATTGTTAGTGTAAAACTAACGTCTCTTTCTTGTCATTTTTTCTCTCGTTGACACCGATGCATCTCCATCAAACATCTAGAAGGAAAACCTACAACGGCAATATGAGATTTCTCTCTCCTAGGACGGCAGCGGCAATATGAGATTTCTCTCTCCCAGGGCAGATCTGAACCCAAAGTGGCAACAGTAAAACCCAGTTACAGTGGCAGTATGAGATTTCTCTCTCCTAGGGCGGATCTAAACCCAAGGCGGCAACGGAAAAACCCAGTTGCAGCGCAGCAATATGATCTCTCTCTTTCTCTCTCTCTCTCTCTCTCTTTTCTTCTTCTTCTTCTTCCCCCCTTTTTTCTTTCTTTGTTCAGTCACCACCGCTACAACCAGTTGCAGCGGCAAATCTGTGAACCCACCTCCGACCTTTCTCTCTCCAAGAGTCTCTCTTTCATTCTCTCTCTTTCTCTCTTTCTCTCTTCTCCTCCTCCTTTTTCTTCTTCTTCTTCTTCTTCTTCTTCCTCTTCTTCCCTCCTCCTTCTGTGTCAACTATAGTAGCTCCCATCTCAGGTTTCATCAATAGCTCCCATCTCACCGAATTTATACCTTGACAACCAAACATAGTTGGTGTAAAATTTCAAAATCCATGGGTCCCAATTTCCATCGACAACTAAATCGGTTCACATTTCCCATTGGTGTAAACTGAATTTACACCTAAAACAAATGCAACTTAAGAAAAAAAAAGCACCCATGGGTGCATTGGACGCATGAACCCAGCAATCACGTTCGACCACGTCGATTGACCATAGGATGGGTAACGTTAATGTGGGTTTGGTCATCAACTAATGGAGTTTAGTTCAATCGGATACAAGAAGACAAAACATCCATTTCCATTTCACACTCAATTCGAACTCCCCCTCCCTATCCTCATTTCAAACCCTCCTACCACAACAACAGCTCACCGACACCTTCACTCCACACTGGTGCCTCCGTGAACGATGAAGCCACCAGCGACCCTGTCCATGGTTCTTTCAATTTTTTATTGAACCTCTCCATTTTGTAGAGAACATAGTACATGCAATTGAATGAAGTAAGTCTCTTTGTATGGAATCGAAGGAACATGTGAAGGAAAGAAAACGATCATGCCCTGAAACCAAGCAACCACAATGTGTTGGATCCATTTGCCATGTTTGTATCTCTGGGGAGTGGTTGGGCCAAGAGCTCACCCTAAGGATTTATAGATGTTTTACACAGTCGGAGGTTAAACAGATGTGTAAGCTCTTTAGCTGGATCAGAACCTATGTGTGCTAGCCCTCATTCTATTAATGACCACTACTAGAATTCTTACATTTAGAGGCGACACAAAAAAATGCCTCCAAAACATATCAAAGAAGGCAGGATTATTTGATTGTCATAGACGCACTTTTTAACGCCTCTTTAGTCAATTTTTATCCTTGCATATTTGGCAGACAAAAGAAAACGGTCGCCATTTAGGTTTAGCGCGCAAAAACCATCACGTGCGAATGCCAAATCTCCTCCCGGACAAACGAGCGACTCTTAACATCTTCTTGAGCCAAACCTGTTTCCCCATTTTCCCACTTCCTCTTCCCCTTTTAAACTCTCTCTCTCTCTCTCACCCTCTTCGGACGAATGAATTCTCTAGACAACACTGGACAAACTTGCAGTGGCAAGTTTGGTTTTCTCTTTTCTTGTTTTCTCACTCATTTTTTATTTATTTCTTATTCTCTTCCTCCCTATCCTTGTTTTTTTTCTATTTCTTTCTCACTTTCCCTTTTTCTACAACTCTCTTTTAATTTTTCTCCACCGAATCACAGGTCGCCATTACTCTTTGCTTATTGTTCATCGACCTCGGGTGATAAAGTCCAAAACGTGGTGGGAAATGAAGAAATCTTCGGATTGTCGTCCCAGTTACTGCCCCTCTTGGGCCCTTTCTTGGCCATTATCGTAGATAGAATTTGCTTCAAGATATTGTTGGCTATCGTGCAGACATCCTTTGTCTTCAAGAGGTAAGTTGGTGTGCATTCATTTACTCCATCTCTAGATTTGTTTGTTTTGAGGACTTGGTAATCTTAGTTGGTTATGATCTTGTTAAGAGATATGCTTTTTCTAGTATTTTAGATAGCTCATAGAATTTCTTGTTGTCTGATGTATTCTGAAAACCCAACTAGTTGATGTACAAGGAAAATTTCATTAGCCTTATTTATATTGTGGTCTATGGGACTGGCCAAAACCTAAATTAACTTTTACCTGTTCATGGCATAACAATGCTAGTATTTTGTAACTAGAGGTTGATGTTACCTGCTCCCTTTTAAAAAAGAAGAAGAAAAAAAACTTCAATGCAATATTTGTTTTTTGGTTCTCTATAATGATTGCTTCATATGTTAAGGAGGTTTTTTCTTTCATGTAGGTTGAATTTAATAAGGCTGCACAGTCTTTGATTGGTGCAATGGTTCCAAGTGCTTAGAATAAAGCTGCTTTGAATTGATTGCTCAAGGTACCTTCACTGCACTCAATTTCTTCTGTGTCTTCCTTGATTTGTTCTTGAATTGTTGGTTTTTCAACTGATGTGTTCCTTTTTTCTTATCCTTTGATTTCTGTGTAGGATAATATTGCACTAATGACTCTTCTGGAGGCAAAATTTATTGCTAATAAGTGACAAATTTTCTATATAGTAAGCACACGTCTTAGCCTTTTTATCTTGTATTTTAGTCTTTATTCTCGGTTATTCATCTATGACTATATTCCTCAAATTGTTGTAGTTTGAGTTTATGGCTTCTTTTATCCTTGCATCCATTCCATGATGACAGAAAGGGAGATACAGCAATTTGTCTTAGTGTGCTGCATTATATATTGTGTTTTGTGTGTAGGTGACAATGTTTGTTCACCTTTTCATATGTCCTGGCTTAGCTGACCATGATAATTTTTATATTTATTTGTATACCTTGTTCTCTACTAATTCATGGCTATAAAAGAAGGTATAGGACTGTTACTCAATGTTGGTCCCAGCTATCTGGGGTCTTTGTAGTGGTGGGCTGGATGGGGACTTAACCTTTGTCATTGTTTTGGCACAAAGTGGTTGTTCTTATCTTGAACTCACCTTATCTTGCTTGCCATTTGTCCTTATCGGCAATGCCAATGGTCACCCATGCTTCATAACCAATAGTTTATAATGGCTTTGCTGCACTTGTAATACAAGTTCCAAGGTCTATTTGTTGTGTCAAACTTTTTGTGTAGTTTAAAAACATGTGGCTTTTTAATTTTGTGCTTAGAGCCTCCGACATTATCAATTACCTCGGGTTCAAAGGCCTATGGCTGATGTTTATGCTTCAATAGAGCTATAGTTCATCCAATGTTCTCTCTCTCTCTCTCCACCCCTCCTCAATCCTTTAAATGTTAATGTTAAACTGTTCCTTCTAAATTTATACTGGTGGACTACCAATATGATTTATTGCATTTAGAGAAAAAATCTGATAAGTGACTACCTAAGCTGCCCCAACTTCCATCATAGCATTGATGTGTGACCAAACATCTTCTAGTAGCTTCTTATAGACAATCTGATCAACTTCATGGTTGTTGCATGTTACTAGTATGCCATACCAGTAACATGATAATATTAAAATGTGAGATTTTTGTTATTTCAAGAAAAAAACAACATTAAAAGGGGTAGCTGAAGATCCATGCCATCAATTACATGGTTTGTTGCTCTGTACATCTGTATGAACTATGAATTTCAATGAGATTAGTGAAATATATCAAGCATCTGGTTAAGTAATTAGCTCATGCCCAGGTTCCCTAACTGCTGGTGGTTATGTTTGTAGCCAGGATAAACCAACTAATATAAAACTTAAAATGGTAGAATGAAAAACCTCTCAAGAGATAATATCAAGGTAGAAGGAAAGAAGTTATTTCTTGGGGGATTTCTTAGACAGAGGTTTCTTGGTTGAGTTGGAAATGTCCAAACAAAATCAAATACTCTTTTCTGTTGCCATGTTCTAATCTTCAGAATTTTGGCTAAAATCCTCTAAGAGATATTAGGATATTTAAAACTTATTTTGAGATTGAAATTTGATGTGGCTAGAAGGTATAGAAAGATTTTGGAAATGGATAAGCTTTTGGTTTTGGACTTTGTGAGTGTGGAGTTGAGATCTGAATAGATGGAAGGAAAATGATATTGGTATTTTTAGATAAGGTTTCAGATATGAAACAAAGACATATGTATCTTTTTCTTTCCCCTTTGCACTCTTGTTTGACATAATTGAAAATCTAGGTACCATTGAGAAAATGACAATTGACATGTAAGGTATATTCTGGTTTCCTTGATTCCATCTTTTTGCATGAAAAAGAAATATATCATAGATGGTAAAGATGCAAATTTCTTTCTATTTGTCTTTTTCTATAGATTTATGAATGTCGAAATCCATAAAGATCTTCTATTGTTAACAGAATACTTTTGCCCTCCCTAATCCCTAACTCCATGTTCCTTCATATCTTTAGCTTACTTGAATCGGATTCCATGCACTTATTGGACTTCAACTCCTGTCTTTATTTCCATGAAATGCCAACAAAAATCTTTACTAAAAATAAGTAGATCTTTAGTAGCTATGAAAGTCAAAACATTTAACAAATTAAAGATGTTTCTTGTAGATCTTTGTCTTGGGTAATAGCATTAAAAGTATCTTTGTAAATTTGATATTTGTTTACTGCTTGCTAGATATTGTATTCTGCTGAACTTTTATATTGATTACTTTTATGTTGGGTTGTCAGTTTCCTGCATTACTCTTCATGTGGTAACACATTAGTTGTTTACTTAGAATACAGACCAATATCTTAAAAACTATCTTGAGCTACCTACTCAGCTAACTGGGTTAACTGGTTCAATAGGACAATTCACCTATTCTAACGATCAAAACCATAAAATATTCAACTGCCTGGATAATTGGATCAATCATCTGGGTTAATGTCATTTTGAAAACATTGGCACAAGCCCCACTTTTAGTTTAAGAACTATTCTAAATTATGCATGTGTTGGTACTCTACTCTAGGAAATTGAAACTCATTTGTTAACATGATGAAATTAGCATTTTCAATTTATTTTCTTCTCGATATAAATTCACAAAGTGATGCTGGTACCCCATTGATTTGGATTGTTGGGAATGGTCAACAAGATGATGTAAAGTTACCCCAACATGAATAAGCATTTACTGTTGTACCATTTCTTTTGCTAACTGTGAACCTTTATTTCAGTTCTCACTGTCATGCTTAGAATTGTTGATTTAGTTGAGCGCATCTCTTAGTCTTCCAATACTTATGGTTAACTATTCTGGTTAATTTAGGTTACCATGTAGTAAAGTTGCCTGGTTTCTTGCTATTATTCATCTATGATGCCTTATGTATGAAATTTTGTTATACAATTATAAATTGGTCTGTAATTGTTCTAGAAAATACATGTCTCTCTCTCTTTCTGGAGTTGTTTTAGGCATTGCTCCGTCTTAGACACTGCTCCACCTCTCTATTGCCTCAGAGATCCAAGCGTTTTATTTATTCTCCCTTTCAGATCAATAGAAGAGGTAATCCAGGGTTCAGATTCCTTAACCTATTCTTTCTTGAAATTAATAACTTTTGACAAACCATCTCTCTGCCCATGTGTTTTTATTTCATATTTGTTGCTATATGCAATTAGATAAACAAAAGCTATTAATTTACAAAAAATATTTACTTAGTTTGGTATTTTCTTTTTGTTGCTTTTCTTTAGAGGTTGTAGAGGAAGAGAGGATTGGATGAAGATTATAAAGAGCATTTTGTTTCTTTATATGTTAAAAAGGAATTTCTTTTCAATTCTATATTTGATTTGTAAGTTGTCAAAAAAGAAGTCATCTAGTGAAAAGGAAAAGGGAATATAATGAGGCCCGCATGTTGTGCTTTTTGATGAGAATAAAAATTGTCATATTTTTATCCTTTAATATTCAGTCTTTTACACTTATTTAGTACCTAATTGGATTCACTATTCTTGTATTTCGATTTAGGGCACGAAAAAAGGCGTTAGGTACAACTTTACAACTTTCATGTTTTGAGTTTTGATAGATTTGGACTGCATCGAGGTCAAAATCGAGCCCGAAGTCTAAGCCAATTTGTAGAGAAGCCCAGTTTGCAGTAGAAGCCCAATTCACAGAGAAGCCTTACAGCGACCTAATTCTTTGAGAAAGCCCAATACGAATTTAGCATGCATGAATAAGAATCATCAAAGAGTCCTATCAGATTCAATTTTCTATTGTATTTCTAGAAAGATAAAAGATATTAAGATGACCAGTTAAGAGATAGGAGTAGATTAGATCTAATCTAGGCATTATCTATTAGGGAACTAAACTCCGAATGAAGAAAGAACTCCTTAGAGGATCAGGAGACAACTCCCTCTTAAGTCTATATAAAGGGGGTGGACTAGCCCCCAAGGGCATCATAAAATCCTCCAAGAGAGCTTCAGCCTTGAGAGAGAGCAATCGGCAACCAAGGAGGAAGAAGCAGAGTTCGCCTCCTCTCATCTGGAAGCTGTGATTTCATCATGAAGTATTTGTAAGGTTTTATTTTCTGGTTGAAGGGTTTGGGAAGCTTTGATTCTATAACATTGTGAGATTTAATTGATTTTATTTTAGTTCATTGTTTATGGGTATTCATATGTTTTCTGTGATTTTCTGTTAAGATTAGTTTCAATGAGAATAATCTATGGCCGATTGAACCTCTAATTTCGTATATGATTGGTAGGTTTAATCATGGTGGCAACTAACATAAATTGATTGCAAAAAAGTTTTCGATCTATGTTAGGAAAATATATAATCTAGTTTAAACGATCCGAACTTGTGAGATCGCTGACCAGAATTGGGTCTCTCCCCTCTTAATGCTATTAATAGATTAAATCCTAAGAGTTTGTTTAGGATTGTCTATTAATAAGAGAAGCAATCAAAGAGCTTGTTTTGGTTGTCAAATTATACGAGTAGAGGCTGACTGTTAGAGCTTGTTAATGGCTATAACTAATTTATTCATATCCTATGAATTCATCCTTGCATCGACGATCAATGATAAGAATCAAAGCTGAACTTGTCCCTTCAATCGGAAGCTATCTCCCATCGATTTGATCATTTCTTTATGTTATTTTATTTTATTTCATCTTATTTTCCTTAATTCAACAACCCCCTACTTYGTATACTTGGAAATAAATCCACCAAATCCCTGTGGAGACGACCTTGTTCATCACTATATACAAATTATTCATTTCGAGCAAGACTTTTTATTTTTGGTTGGATTCGACACTCACTACTTTTGGTTTCTTTTTGTTATTAAAATGATGATAGAGGTCATTTGAAATTATTCACATTTTTTATTGAAAATATATTCTCATACAGGTGTATCAATTAGAATTTTTGTAGAACAATATTCACAATATATTGCACTTTAAAAAAAAAAGTTGGAACCTTTTAGAGTTGGCCAAAGGTGCCTCTAAATGTCAAGGCATATATCTTTAAAGACAATTAAAAGTGCCTCTAAAAAATTGAAACCTTTTTAATTGAGATTTTTTCCTTTTTGTAGATTTTTTAGAGGCATATAAAATCACCTCAAAACCATTTAAAGGCATTCGAATGTGCCTCTAAATTGAACTTTTTGAAGCATTTATAACTGCCTCTATATAGGATTTTAAGCGTCAATGCAATAGGCACAGTCGTATATGCCTCTAAAAGGCCAATTTAGAGGTGGATTACAAACACACCTCTAATTCTCAACCAACCACCTTTAAAGCATTTAACGACAGGGCTTTTAGAGGCATTCACTTAACCACCTCCTATTTCTTTTAGAGGCATTTTTGAACCTTTTAGAGGTAGTTATGACTACATCTATAGATGAATTTTCTAGTAGTGGATGCTGGAGTAATGACATTGAATAATTACAAGAACCCAAATTTATTTGTACATGATAACTCAAACAATCGGGAAGGAGCAGTGGTTAGGCAAGGCAAGTGGCAAGTCCTTTATCAACTAGCATGTGGGTTGGTAAGTGAGAGTTCACATGGACATATGGTGTATTCATAATTGAAATGTGTGTATTCATAGCAGTACTTAGAACCATGTTTTAAAAGATGTGCCTAGGCTCATAGGCAAGATATGAACTAGGTGGGTGGTTATTCATATCAGACCAGGTGGTTGGTTGTTGCTCCTGCTGATGTAAGGGTTCAATATATTGAACAGAGAACACAAGAAGCCACTTGTAAGAAGAAGAAAAGAAGAGGAAGAGGAAGAAGAAGAAGACGTACGAACTAGAGAGAGTATCGGCTGTACCGCCGAATGATTCTCTCGCTGCTAGTGGCTTCGCCGTTCACGAGGGCATTGGTGTAGAGTGAAGGCGCCGATGAGCTGCTATTGTGCTAGGGTTCAAAATGAGGACAGGGAGGGGGGTCAAAGTCTGAACTAAGTGTGAAATGAAAATGGATGTTTTGTCTTTTTGTATAAGTTGAATGGGACTCCATTAGTTGACCACCAAACCTACGTTAACGTTACCCATCCCGCGCTCAATCGACGTGGTTGAACGTGATTGGTGGGTTTACGCGTCTAGTGCACCCATGGGTGCATAGAACGCAGACTCATTGAACTAAGCCCTTTGAGGTGAAACTAACCCAATGTGGGGATGTGATCATGCGGGTGCGACCTAGCGTGCTAAAACTATGGTGCCTTATTTGGTTCAAATTCCAATCAAATATCTACCAAGCCAAAACAAACTTAGCCAGGTGGCAATAACCAGACATTTGGGCAGGCCAGGAGCCAAACCAACCAAACATCTTCATGCTTCAATTGAACCCACGACCACATCGTAACTTGTGAGTTCATCCCTAGTTCGTATTTCATGTTGTAACATTGATCAAACAGTTTTTGCACGTCCTAATGGGCATGATATGAATGAAATACTGGTCATTGATTCTTCACCACTTGTTTTAGTAGGAGATGTAAGCCCCATACATGGAGAGCGTCTCTCTCTATTGTTCCCCTTCCCAAATCCCGATGCATGTAATCAGGTTTGATCAAAGCTAGGGTTTGTTGTTTGCAACACGAAAAAGTTGTCAAGATTTTGAATGCCAACCATTCCGTTACAGTACGAGAAAAGGAATGATAAAATTTTCTCAATCTTTGCTTTAATTGACTTGCTACACCTGAAGCCAATTCTTGTAAGAAATTATTTTATTTTTATTTTCACTAGAGTTTTCACAAACAATGCCAAACCGACTAAATCGGCTCGACCCAACCCAATTTGATTGGTTTTTCATTACCACCGGTTGGTTTCGAGTTGTAAAAAACTGATAATTCAGTTCGGTTTTAGTTTTCATGTATGTGAAAACTGAAATCGAACCGAGTTAGTCAGCTCCTGATTTCCTAGTCTTTCCCTAACTAGGTAGTCCCTATCTTGTAGCTTAATCATTCAGCCCATCACAAGCCCATTGGTCTTTTGAGTATCTATGAATGTCAAATGGCAAATGCAGCCTTAATCATGGTGTGTAATGGGCCAAAAATCAAACTTGAACTAAAACTTCTTGTTTTGGAATGCATTGGACCAAGCCGCATTGAATCCAATGATAAACCGACCGATTAAACCGATAAATTGACCCTTCATGTTTGGGTCGGTTTTACTTAATGGCAGGTCGGTTTCGACTAGCTCTTTAAATAACCCAACCAGGTTGAATCGGTTAAAAAAATCTATTAAACCGACCTAACTTGACTCGTGAACAGCCTTAATTTTTGCTATTGGATAGTCATATGTCAAAGAAGATTCAAAGCAAGATGCATTTAATACTCTTTCCAACTCTTAAATGATTTTTTTTCCTTTTTTACCTTTTTTTAGTAAAACATCTAATCCCACTCAAAGAAGATTCAAAGCAAGATGCATCCGATACTCTTTTCAACTCTTAAATGAATTTTGTTTTTCCTTTTTTACCTTTTTTTTTTGGTAAAAGCATCTAATCCCACTAAACTAGGAGAAATCGACTACTCCGATCATAGTGGTGCTAGGCTAAAACCATGAAATCATAGCCTTCCATACATTGTTGTGGAGAAAAGATCCCAATAGTGAAATCAACTATTTTGAGCATCACCGTATGCTTTTCACCAATTGTTTTATTATTTATAGCAACAGATTAGTCATCGATATAATAATTGCTATATCGACGATTTCAAGTGTTGGTAATGATAAAATCACATTGCTTTATTTCTTTTACAATTTTACTACTTTTAGTAATGATTCTTTATATAATCACAGTTGCAACCATCAGTTCTATCGGTATAAATTACTTATGGATTAGATTTATTTGTAATATAACAAAGATTATTGTTATAGATATTGCATATTTACAAACTCATTTTTTATGAGCAACAACAATTCATGAAGGTATATAAAATCCAATCCAAATTGAATGAAACTTCAATTACATGAAAACCTATAAAATATAAAAACTTGCAATAATATATTATTAAAATTTTTCAAAAAATATAAAAAATTACAAAAATAAAACTTGCATTAAAACTGTATCAAGAACGATCCACTTGTTGGATATGTGAGTATATCATATAGTTATATTAAGCATCAAAGCTTGCACTCTTTGATGTCAACTGAATCACAACAATTTTGTAAGGAAAATTGGGTTGGCTGGGCAACAGTGCTTAGAAATCTGGACTGGACCGGTCGGTTGGACCGATTGAATTATAATCTGGACCCCTAGTTAGTTCGGCCATACCCCCAAAATCACAGTGTGAAAAAAATGAGTCAAAATCGGTGACCTAGATGGTCAAACCGGAAAATTGGTGACCTGGTCCCGGTTTTTGAAAACTGATCGGTTTTGTTGTCAATTTGTTTTGCACATAAATGTGAACGAACTCTTCTTTGCAATTTATCCACTCATAAGAAAAATTAGGACATAACACTCAACATTCTTAAGAGTTTAACCCATGGTCTCATCCTTGCTGACTAGAAATCTTACCATTAAACTAAGCAAAAGGCCAATAAATAATGTCCCAATGGCCAAAACGATTCCGGTTTCGGGTCAATTTTTAAAACATTGCTCAGTGTATGCCTTTTGGTCTCCTGGGCTGTTGAAAGATATAATTAAGAAGACTTGCCAAACAATTACTATATTTTTAGGATTAATAAATTTGGTCATTTTTCATTTGATAATGAATAATGGGAAGCTGAAAAGACTCGCACCCTAGAAAGCTCACAGTACAAAAGCCAAAATTGGTTAAAAAGTTTGGAAAATTTCCATCGTTATGTGCCTAAAATATAATTTTAACAATCCGGTAGACCAGCCCCATTTGGTGTGTCTTTCCACACGGTTTGTCGATTATTTATAAGTTCGGCGGATCGCGATTCAGTCTTTTCCCATTTGGTTCGCAATAGATCTAGTCACCAAAACCAGAGTGCTGAAAAAACGCGAGAAGCCCAAAATAGGCAATTTTAGGGAAACTCCAAGTGGAGTTTTTGTGTGTGTGTGTTTTATTTTTTGTTCTTCTTTGCACTGAAAGACACACCTTAACTAAGCGGGCTTTAGGCTGCTTAGGTCTTAATTCAAAAGCCCAATGTGTCTTTTGACTATCAGAACTACCAGAAGGTCTTCCCAAAAAGATTTGCCAAACAGCCCCA